AAAACCTCAATGACAAGTTTTAAATATAGGCCTATTTAAGAGGACCAAGCAATAGTGATAGAAAATTAAGGTTTGAAGTTTCAGACAAACTCAAAAACAGGGCAGAGATCAAACAAGTTTTAAACATAGCCCTACTAAGAAATTGAGATTTTAAGTGCTTGCAGACTCTGCAGTGAGGGAGAGGCCATTGCCTTTGTGGTTCATTGGTTCCATTGCAAAACTACTACCACCAATAATTATATTCTATATTCACCTGTTGTTGTTGTTGTTGTTGTTGCTGTTGTTGCTGCTGCTGTTGTTGTTGTTGTTGTTGTTGGTCTTCTTCTTCTTCTTCTTCTTCTTCTTCCTCTTCCTCTTCCTCTTCTTCTTCCTCTTCTTCTGATTCCTTACCCATATGTCACCATAAGGTTCCAGGCCAGAGTGCAATAATATAAAAATACAAGATTGCAGTAATTAAAAGAATAGAGTGGGTTCTCATATATGTGTGCGTGCACATATACCTATTGGGCTTATCAGTAATTGCTATAGAGATGCCAACAGATCCAACAATATAAGCCAAGAGGGATAACTTCTGGATGCATATGCTGGACATATTAACACTGCATGGCCTCATTGTGGAGGGTTGAATGAAGCCCTTCTGAGCCTTACACCCTCAAAGCCCTATAACTGAACACAGCATCATTTTCATCAGAGCAACTGATGATGTTAGAAGCTGAAACATTTTGCTATAAGAATTTAAAATGACTGTTTTGTTAGACACACTCTCTCTCACACTCATGACCTTCATGTGTCAAAGGCCAGGGCAAAGCAGTTTGTCTACTGCAGGGATAGGGAACTCATGTCCTTCAAGATGTTGCTGGAACACAACTTTCTGACCGTTGGTAAATGGGAACAGACACCCTCAACTTCTCCAGCCCTGGTCAACAGCATACAGAAGAAGCTGTACAATGAGGATGGCAGACACAACACTGTAGGGGGAAATCCCATATCCTGGTGGCTGCCACAGAGAATGCCCTCTCCCTGGCCACCATCACCCTGAGTATCTGAGGGTGGTGGAACAACCAAGAAGGCCCCTTCTGCTGATCTTAATGCCCAAGAGGAACTGTGGGGAATGAGGCTGCCTTTCAGATATCTGAGAGAATCTATAGCTCAGTGGGGAAGGGAAGCATATGCCTTGCACAAGGAACATCCCAGCCAGGTACCTTTACAATACATCATGCAGAAGGGCCACAAAAGACTGCTTAAATCAGACTAGACAAGGCTGAATAGATACTACTGAGCTAGTTTGGTCCATGAACTGACCCAGTAGTTGGCAACTTCATACATTCAGTTTTTGAACAGAAAAGATCCATTATCTTAATGGCATTTCTGGACCTAAGTTCTAAATCCCTGCAATCTCCCAAGTTACAGTGTGCAGGGTACAGAAAGTCTCTTTGTGTCTGATGCCACTGCAAGAACATGGTGCTGGACTAGACAGTTTGAGCCAGCAAGTTTGTTCTTATATTCTTATCCATCAATAAAGCTTTGAACATACAGGAAACTGGAGACAGTGCATTAGCCCAACTGACATTAATCTATTTTCTGTATATTATCTTCTTTCTGAAGAGTGCTGGCCAGTATCTTCCCAAGTTAGTTTGTGCAATGTACTTAGAGATTATTTGTGACTGGTGCTGCTCAGTTTCCAACTTTCTAAGTTCAATTTGATTTGGGATCCATAAATTATCTTGGCTGCCACAGAGCTGATTTCAAACACCACCAGCAAAAAGGAAAAAAAAAGGGGGGGAGGACTATTTTGAGGCCAGCTTCTAAAGGGATGCACACTGTAGATCATAGAACTACATTTCCCAAAAAACCACACAAATTCAATATTCTTTGCTCCAGTTTCTAGCAGATAGTTTTGTTGGCTTTCTCAGCAAATGTTGCTAATGCTCTAAAGATGAGAGAGGCTTCAGTATGAGAAAAGCTTTACCGAGCTCATTCATTAGAAAGTGTTTTCGTTGCATCTGGCTTCAGAAGGGCTGCATTATGAGTAAACAAAAATGCAATCCGTTCTCCCTTTCCAAAGCAGTCAAAATATTTCTTAGCACCTTGATAGCATCCGTCTATTTCAGAGCACCTTACCGATGTGATTAATCATCCCAACTGTGTAAGCAATTATTATTCCACCTGAAGGAAAATAATGCTGGTCACAGCACTAAAGCATGTTCATGGGCAGCTGGGGAATAAACACCCAAATTCTGATGCATGCTAGCTATTTGACCTTGGGTAGGTCAGTTTACACATTTTCTCTCTCTCTCCTTTGCAGCATGGTCAAAAGGATATTTGTATCTGTGTTTTGTTTTGGTGTTAAACAAAAATAAAAGCATTGTAAAAAGAAAAAAATGCAGCAATTATGTTGCAAAAGGCACTGGTTGGAGGAAAATAATGAAGTGCAGGGTGCAATTTTATGTTCTCTTGTGGAGAATCCCAGGGGCATAAGATATTGTGGACCTAAAAGGGATGCAGGTGGTGCTTTGGGTTAAACCACAGAGCCTAGGACTTGCCGATCAGAAGGTCAGCGGTTCGAATCCTCGCGACGGGGTGAGCTCCCATTGTTCGGTCCCTGCTCCTGCCAACCTAGCAGTTCGAAAGCACGTCAAAGTGCAAGTAGATAAATAGGTACCGCTCCAGCGGGAAGGTAAACGGCGTTTCTGTGCGCTGCTCTGGTTTGCCAGAAGCGGCTTAGTCATGCTGGTCACATGACCCAGAAGCTGTACACCGGCTCCCTTGGCCAATAAAGCGAGATGAGCGCCACAACCCCAGAGTCGGTCACGACTGGACCTAATGGTCAGGGGTCCCTTTACCTTTACCTTTATCCATCTATAACTGGTGATACCCTCATTTTAGCAGCCACAGAAATCATCACCAGGGGGCATCTTCAGGGCAAATCAAGGAGACTGTGGATTAAAAGCTCCTTTGTCAGGGGAGTCTGGGGTAGGGGCAGCACAAGCTCTAGAGCTGATGCAGTTATTTCATTCCCAATGGGTGTGTGTGCTTATATGGGAGACTCACTCACTTTGAAGGAGGAATGTCAGGGTTATAAATGCATGCTCTGTCAGGATGGGTGGGTTTGCTCCCATGTGGAAATGAGGCACCGGTTCTAGATGACATGGCAACACCCTGCTGTTCAGATGCTGCTGCCTCCTGTTCTTCCACCTCCCTCAGCTGACCCATGTGCTTCCCAGCTTCCTCTGACAGGGAGACCCAGCACTCCTACACCCTCTTCTGAAGTGGCTAAAATAGCTGCCAAAGAGGAAGACCCCCCCTCCCTCTTCCAACACAGGTTCCCACCATTCATGCTTTCTTCTGTTTCTCCATCTCCTAATTTCTCCTCATCCATCAGAGCCTGCTAATCCAAGCTTGATCCCAATGGTGCTGCAGGGCTCCTGATACCAACCAGACCCTAATATATAAGTCAGCTCCTCAATCTCAGCAACTGGTCTCACTAAGTAAGCATGCAGGCTCTCAAGACTTGCCTAGCTGCACATTGCTTCCCCCTCCATTGTCTACTTGATCCAGTGGAATGGCCAAGGATCTTCTTGGCATGTAGGAGGTCCCAAATTCAATCCCCAGGTAGAGATCCAGGTCTGAAATCCAGCCAATCAGTGTGGACAGTACTGAGCTAGACAGACAATGGTCTGACTCAGTGTATGGCATATCCTTGTGATGTAGAAACTGACCAGCCTATCTTCAGCTGTGTGATTTGCCTCTGACCCTTTGGACTTTGGACTGCTGTGGTCTCCCAGCTGCATCCATGTATCTGAACATGCCTTAGGCCCTGCACCTACAAAATTGGTACCCATCCCTGATTCTGTAAGGAAGACCCATGTGATGAGCCTTCACCCATGTGGCTTCCTCCTTGAAATGATCTCTCAGCAGCACACGGACTGCTCTCAAAGATATGCTTGGTAGTCTAAATAGCACAAAAGAAGGCTACAAAAAGATATGTATAGAATTGTTTCATTTCATTCTACTTTGAATTGTGCTTTGTCTCCCTTTCCCTCTCGAGCTGTGCTGCTGCTGCTGCACACAGCAGGTGAAGAGGCTGACATCTTTTCCACTCCCTGGCTTATCATTGATTGGAGACAAGAATTCAGAGACTCTAGCACTGGCAAGCCTCCAATGATGCCCACCCACACACGTACAATGTTTAAAAATATACCAAATTCTATCTTACAGATGGAGATAAGGAGGTAGGAAAGATAAGGCTGTTAGAATAGACAAGCAAACCTATAACTTCACAGAAAGGTTTTCTGCGGGTAGGAAGTGCTCTGCTCCCAATTTCATTGCAGCTTGGTGTTTACATTCCTTTGACCTTATGCCGTGACTCTATGGTCAAGGGAGATACTTCTCTCTCTTTTTGCCACCAGTATATATTACTGAATACAGAATTCTTAAGCAATGGATTTCAAATTATCCCCTCCTCCTGGATCCTGAGTGTCTGCTATTCGGCTCTGCTTTCCGAGGAAACAGAGAGACCCCATCAGGCAGTAGCCCACAAATGCTCTAGTCTTCCCTAACTGTAGGAGCATGCACTGTTGGGTGCCACTTCCCAAAAAGACTGAGCTGCTGGATGGGATCAAAGGGCAGGACATTTTCCATTTAATGGCATTTGAACCAATGACCATCATGACTTCCCAGAACATCTGGCCAACCATTGTTGAAAACAGAATGCTTTTCTGAACAAACCAAGTTCTTTTTACATCCCTTGGAAAAGAGGGTGCTGTCTTATACTGAGTGAGACCATTGGTCAATCTAGCTCAGTATTGCCAACATGGTTTCTTCCAGCTGTTGTTGGTTTACAACCCCCATCATCCCTGACTATTGGCCATGCTGGCTGGGGATGATGAGAGTTTGGAGTCCAACAACATCTGGAGGGTACCACATTGGCTATCCCTGATTTTCAGTGGCTGGGCAGTGGCTCTCTTGGGTTCCAGACAGGGAACATTCCTAGCCATAGCTGGAGACGCTGATGATTGAACCTAACATCTGCATACAAAGCAGATGCTCTACCACTGAGCTATGGCTCTTCCTTAAATTATTACATTGGTGTCAACAGGCCTAATCTAAGGTCTTATCCACACTTCCTCTTGTTCCCCTAGGGAAACCTGCTTTTTTAGTGTTCAACTGGCGCAAACAACAATCCAGGTTTTCTCTGGATTGATGTTTGCTCCGATTGAGCACTGGGGGGGGGGGGATTTCCCTGGGAAAGGAATAGGGCAAGGGGAAAACTGCTCAGTCCCATGCTTTCTATGCACAGGACAAGTAGAAGTCTGGACGAGCCCTAAGTCTGGATCCATGCCAATGGCTTCTTCTGAAATATGGATTTCAACGGTAGTGTTTAAAGTATGTGTTTAACTCACTCCAATTGAAACTTCAGGGCTTTCACAGTCCTAATGTCTGTGTTGTGCCCAACATTTGTGTGGGCAGGAGGGAAGAAGCAATTTCATGATGCACAGAATTCCAGTGGTGGCACATAGCAGAGTGGAGTGATGTTTAATAGGAAATTGCTGACAGCTCTCAGTACCTCTCTGAAATTGGCCCATTAAGAGCATATGGCATTGTGCAGTGTATAGCTTTGTGCAGCATTAAAACTCCACAAGGAATTGCATTCCAGGTTTGTTAGCTATGAATGGAACATAAATGAGAGTTTTTAAAGTCCTCAAAGATGTTTAAGAAAACCCTTTTAATGCATTCATGGAATGCAATGACAGCATTTTTATTTTTATTTTTTACATCTCATCTCGCCAGTGAAATGCTTATGACACAAATCATTTTATAACAAGTCTTGATATGCAGGTGGGATTTATGTCCCATTGTGGATCTGCTTCACTAGATACAGACAGCATCACAAAACAGTTTGCTGGGACATTGGAAGATTAGTAAAGGCCTCCAATTTTTGGGAGTGGGTTTGGGAGAGAAATTAGGAGGAAATGGGAAACTCAAGTGCCCAAAACGATAGGCAGAATCTTAAGCCATGACTTCCAACCACCTTTAACTCCCACTTAACATGTCTATATAGCTCCTTTAACACATTACGCACCCACATGGTATATATGTAGGCATTGTCCACATGACCTGAAACCTTGTCTGGACAAAGGTTCATAATCATGTGGACAGAGTGTACATATTAGGGCTGTGCACCAGATTCAGTCAAATCCTGTACTGAAATTGGGCCAATTAAGGGGGATCTGGGCTTCAGTCAAGTTCAGAGGTGACAACCCCAAATCTCCATGTGGGGAACATGCTGGGGCTGCCTGCCTCTTCTTCTTGACTAATATCCCTCCCTGTGACAGCCCCAGATTGCTCCAGGCAGTCCAACTCCACTCAAGATAATTTGGGGTTGCCACCACTGAACATGCAGCCAGCAACTACACGACCTCTCTGCCCCTGTATGTGTTTTCCACATAAAGTGTGAAAGGGAGGGTTGTTATCTGCAAATCCACATGGAAGAGGTCTGTACGCTTATGCAGGTGTTCATCTTTACTCCAGCAACACACCTTCCCATTCCAAAGTCTTTCAAGTAGATATGCTCAAAACGGGGTTTGTCAGTTCCGCATATGCAAATGAAAAGGGGTGTGTGTGTGGAAATAACCCTAATGCTCTGTGCATATGCATTCTCTAGGACATGTGGTATGCTGGGAATTCCTAGATCGCAGCAAAACTACCATTATAATTCATAATATTCTTGTTTGTTCTGAGCATTGATGGAGCATGCAATTGTATTAGAGAATTATATTGCACAGTGTATTTTGAACAGATAATGAAGGGCTGGGCGCCTACTCTAAAAAAGTTACACCGCTAAATATGGAATTCAAATCTCCGACAATGGAAACCATAATCTTCAGTAAGGGGTTTATTATAACCTGACATGCATAAGCATTGTTAATGCAAGGAGCAGTATTATGACAGGAGAACATAGGAAACTGCCTAATATCAAGTCAGATAATTGGTCCATCTAGCTCTGTATTGTCTACACAAGCAATTGTCATAGGCTGGAGCTTATGAGATAGTACTCTAAAACTTTCGGAGGGCACCAACTTGGTGAAAGCTGCTTTATGTTGACTGGCAACAGCTTTCCAGGGTTTCAGAGTGGTATTTTCCCCAGCCCTACATGAAGATGACAGAAACTGACATGAAGAATCCTGGCACAGAAAGTGCCCTTCTGAGTCTGATGCTCAATTGCTACTGGAAACTGCAGAACATAAAGCAGTTGGACCACATTCCTTACTAACAAGATACCTCACTAGCCAATCAGTTCAAATCTGCAAATAGCACCAGGCAGCCAGATTTTCAGAAATGGCAAAGATAAACCAGATGGTATTGGTGCTTAGCTTCAGATAAAGCATAGACACCCCCCCCCACCTTTCTCTCTCTCACCCACACACTTCCCAAAAATGTTATAGTTGTTGAGAGTGTACCCCTTGCAGAAAAAAAGTTTTTAATAGTAAAAAAAACCCAACCCCCACACAAACCAACCATGCATACCTTATGTATTTGTAGTTTGCCTGCCATATCAAGGTTTGACAAGGTATTTTATAGCAAATGAAATTCACCCCACAATAGCCTCCACCAAATTCAGACACTCTCTCTATATTTTTGCTTTTTCAATCTTTATTAAGTTTGATCATTTATACAGTTATTCCATACATTATTCAAGACATAATATGCTACGCACCCAAAAAAAGAAAACCAAAATCGTTCAACATCAAATAATACTGCTACATTAAGTTTTAAAGTCTTTAGAAATGACTTCCCTCCACCTCACTGTGGCTCCTTGTTGTTGTTTAGTCATTTAGTCGTGTGCTCTTTGTGACCCCATGGACCAGAGCACGCCAGGCACTCCTGTCTTCCAGGAGTGGCTCCATACCAATTCCCTATTTTTTAACTGTGTCTTCTTTTTCTTCTTTTTCTTCATTCATCTTACATACTGTACATTATCTATCTGTTATCTACTTTGTGAAAGTTAAACAAAGCATATTAATGATTTTGTTGGGAACAGTGTTTTTCTAAACACGCTCTGTAACAATCCCACTCCATTATGAATTTTGGGTTTGATTGGTTATGATTGCCTCTGTCATTTTTGCTAGTTCTAGGAATTCACATAATTTAGTTTGCCATTCTTCCTTCTTAGGGGTTTTCCCTCCCTTCTAATTTTTAGCAATCAGCATTCTCACTGCTGCTGTTGCATATAAGAAAACCCTCCTCTTATCATTTGGGACATCAGTTGTTAAAATGCCTAGAAGAAAGGATTCAGGTTTTTCACAAATGTTTGTTTAAACATTTTTTTAAAAATTCGTCATAAACAATATCCCAAAACTTTTTAATTTTTTCACAGCCCCACCACATGTGGTACATTGTTCCTTCTGCTTGGTTGCATCTCCAGCATAGGCTTGAATTTGTTTTATATATTTTGGCCAATTTGCTGGGGGTCATGTACCATCTGTAAAGCATTTTCATAAGATTTTCCTTTAGTGTGTAAGAAGCAGTAAACTTTATATTTCTTTTCCATAATTTTTACCAATCGTCCATCTGGATGGAGTAACCAAAGTCCTTTGACCATTTAATCATCACATCCTTAACTTCTTCCACCTTAACTTCCCAATCTAGCAGGAGTCTGTACAAATTCAGACACTCTAGATGTTTTGGAGTTGGACATCTCCCATCAGTATCAGGCAGTGTGGCCAATATTCAGATATAATGAGAGCTGTTGTAGGGCCATAGCAAACCCCCCAAAGGCCTTTCTTAGAGAGGAGAGGTCCGTCAGGAGAACAAGGCTGGCATTGATGGAACAGGCTCAAATGTTTATTATTCAAGGTTGTAAAGAGATAAGCAAACTTAGGAATGCACATGGCCGTGGTGTAGTGAGGCCATGGCAGGAAGGAGGGAGGCAAGACCTTACATGGTAATAGGAACTTACTATAACTTTCGATTTCCCAGAAATCAGGTGGTTTACAATAAATCAGGTGGTATTGTATTCTGCAAATGTATAAAAAGCTGGCTCGCTTAGAATTCGGGGCCGAGCATGAGCTGGTCTGTGCCTTTGTGTCCAAGCAATTGCTTCACAAAATAAAAAAAATCCCTTTTCCTGCTGTCGTTTTACTCTTGCAGCATCCTTGATGCTCCTGGTAACAGATAAGGACCTACCTAGATAGGTGGGTCCTTCATTGTCATCCAAAAACATATGGATGGGTGCCAGATTTGGAATGAATGCCTTTAAAAATTCTCCCCTGACCCTGGGCTTATTCACACTCTCTCCTTCACATGTGATGGAAGAATTACCTGATGAACAGCAGCTGCATGTGTGGACTAACAGCATTGATAAATATTTTAGTTTACATGATCTCAGTCAACAGGAAATTTCTTGGCATTTTCTGATCAGGTGATAATGAAAGTATCATATCACCCAGCTGATATCACCCAGCTAGTCATGAGAAACTAAAGCAACAAAGTATTGTGGGGCCTATTTTTTGTACCCATTACTGGGCTGGAGAACTGCATTGCAAAATCCAAAAAAGTGTGAATTTTGACGGATGATTTATTACCTGCCTTCAGCAGCAGGTCCCAGGGCAGGCTTCAACAATTTAACATTAAAATCAGTTGAAACATATTGCAGCCAGAGGAATAGGATGACCCTGAACAGAAACACATCTTAGATGTCAAAGGCCAGAGTAAATAAATGCTTCTGTTCACATATTTTATTGCGATTTAAATTGGTTTTTCTTGTTTGCATTTTAGTGTTGTAACCTGCCTTGGAACTTAAGGGTCAAGAGTGTTTTTTTAAAAAATAAATTACATTATTAATAATAAAAATGAAACATTCCAGGAATAAAAAATTATGAATTTAGTAGATTTACTTTTAATTGGGAACTGAATACAGTGGTATTGGTTCTCAAACTTAATCCGTTCTGGAAGTCTGTTCCAAAACCAAAGTGTTCCAAAACCAAGGTGCACTTTTCCCTAGAAAGTAATGCAAAATGGATTAATCCATTGCAGACTTTTAAAAACAACCCCTAAAACACCAATTTAACAT